GAAAATAACGCAGACAACTGAAGCACAGCAGGAAAAATGCAAACCGAAAAATTGGCCACCGGTCGACAGGAATTGGCAGAAACAAATAAGACCTACAAACAGGTAGAGATGGCCGGACAATGGTAATGGAAATGGAAAAAGACTACGTTTGGGTAAAGAGACCTACACTTGTTGGCGGCCTGTTGAGGTTGTTGTTGTTGTACTTAGGTATAACACTTGAGAAAGAACTACGTTCACGTATTGTCCCGCTACTTTCATTTAGTTTATCCTGCTTCCATTGTTCTCGGTAACAACGAAGGTAGGCAGAAACATCCTTTACTCTCATGATCAGACATCAAGTAAAAGTCAATCTTAACATTGCTTAAAATTATACTCACGTAAAAGTACCCATCTGAATTCTACTTGAGTAAAAGTAAAAAATAATTTTTCATTGAGTAAAGTTACTTAATTACTTTAAATTACTTGATGCAAAAAAAGGACAAGTCATTCATCTGGTCTCAAACTGTCGAAACTGTTCCGACAGAATTCCGGAATTCCTTTCTGGTGCGCACGAGAAAGTATCTCGTTTTTTTTCTTCCTTTCCCATGTCTCTTTAGGGGCTCCGTAAATACAAGTGGCATAAGTTCAGAAATATATGATCCATTTGAACGCTTATATTGCAAATTCAAGCCACTAAAGCGCACTTCAATTTCGACATGGACAGCTCTGTCCACCAGGGCAAGGCTATTAGTATAACACACAGTAGCCTACCAGAATTGATTGATTAGCTAGCGGTATGAACTTTGTTAGCCCGTAAAAAATCCATAAATAGCCGCGTCATTGTTTAAGTCGCAAGGTTCAAAAAGTAGCGGCTTATAGTCCGGAAATTACGGTAACTAGACTTTTTTATAATGTGCCATTATCTGGAGTTCAAAAACGGAGGTTCCATTGTATTTAGATTTTCTTTCCTAAAGGATGCATCTTATTGCATGACCTTCCCCCTCATAAGATGATGAATGTAAAAATGATTTTTCGAACGTAATTTTGGTCCTTCATTGGACCCTCTCTATGTTAACCAGGCCAATTCAGAAGTGTCCTGCAATTTACGAAAGTGTCATTACCGATTTTCATCAGCAGCTGCGCATGTGATGACCTGAATATTAACGAGTCCCGAGAACTGGCACTCAGCTGCAGTAGCCGGTCGCAACATTACAGTGTCTTCACCTTCAGACCTTTTTTGCTCTAAAACAGAGGTGTCAAACCTCATTTTGATTCAAGATCCACATTCGTGAAATATAATTTGAAAAAAAACATCATGAATTTTTTCACTTTCGAAATTCACCAAGCAGCCGGATTGAACCCCTAACGGACCAGTTTTGGCCGTGGGCTGTATGTTTGACACCCCTGCTCTAAAAAGTTGCACATATTCGGGCATCTTTAACTAAAAACCATAACTGACGAGGCACAAGAAAAAGGCTATTGCCACTCTCAGGTAAACACATGAAAACCTATGGACGAGGACATATTCAAACAGAACAGCTAGGTTTTAAGTCAGATGCGTCAATCACCGACACACTATGCGGTTAATTTGGCCATCTTGATGAATTTTGAAAATTCAAATTAAAAAAAAAAAAAAATCACATGGTGATGGTTTTGACAAATTATATTTCATTTAATATGAATATTTTCCAATATACTTCTTCACATGGAAACAAAGGGGCAATACATATATATTGTAAGTCCGGCTCACTTGACATTTAATCAGAGTGAATCAAAATGAGTTATACAGTACATATTAAGGAAATCAGCCAGCCAACTTTTCGTAATCTTAGTCAGATTATTCATAGTCCCAGGAGCAGTGAACAGTCTCAATTCTGCGGTATTGGGTATTTCGATACTCAGATGAGTAGAGTATGAGACACCCACACCCACAAATCAAAATACTATCGAGAACCTGATATGCATTTTTGTATATTTGTATATGTATATTTTTATCTCTACAAACCACTATATGAGTTGCTGCCACCTAGTGACCGGAGGCCAATATTTCATTTGAAGCCCCCCCCCCTCCCACTATTTGAGAAGTACTGAGATAGAGTATCGATTTACGCTCATAAATTAACAAAATGTCTTTGCCACTTTCACAATTTTTTAGGGCAGAAGTTCACAACGGGAGGGTAGCGCCCCCTAGGGGATTGCAGTTTCATTGCAGGAGGGGAGGCACTGATGGAAGGAATGAATGAATTTAACGTAACACAACATATTGTCCAATGCTGTCACCTATAGAAAAATAAGAAAACATATAAATAAATACACAGAAATGTTTCTGGAGTTTATTCAAGTACTCGATGACAAAAAAGGAAAGATTCCCGATTTAGATTTTCAAAGAAGAATTAGGCAGAATCGTCAGAACCAATAACGATTTGGGGCACTAGAGCATTAGCCATCTCAGAGTGGAGGGTATCATCTCCCCCTGCTGTCTATTTCTGGCATTGCTGCAGTCGTGGATTGGCTGCAGTGTAACGACCTGAATTTTTTTTTTTTTAACTCCATCTGGGATAACTTAACAGGCATTGTACATTAATTAAATTATTTTTCTTTTTTCATTTCCCAGATGTGGTTTCATTATTAATGCTTTATTTCACGCCTTGTTTCAACTATTTATTATTTATATTTATGAAAGAACAATTAAAAAGCGTAAGTAAAATGAACCGGATCTGTCTCGGTCATCCTTAAAACTCATTGTTTTCACACTTTTAGTTCTGATTTTGCAAACGATGTTTTTTTACCAAATTTTAAAGTTACAAATAATATATAAAATACTAATTTCTCTACCAAAGAAAACAATGTTGGCGCACACTGTGGAGAAGTGCTTTAATCATTTCAGCAAAAACTTAAAAATTCTATCAATAGTTTAAAAAAATAAACAAGAAAACAAATATACACTTGATTATTTCAGCCTTTCAACTAAAAATTTCCAAAGTTCACCTAAACGAAATGCATCACTCAAGAAGTTCTAACATCAATTTCCTGTCACTAAATATATTATAAGGTCTTCATTCTCTTTTCTTCTACGTTGACGTCCCCTCCCTCCTCCTGGACGCGCTTAGAACCGCAGGCCGTATTCGGGTGTGGACCGTTCATTTCGGATACGTTTCCTTTATGAGTTTTCATTTCTCTTTTCTCCCGTCTCTCAGTCATCTCTTCGAGGTCGACGGCGAAGAGGGTTTTGAGCGCAGGGATGAGTCTCGGGATGATTTTAAAGTCTGCAAAGCTAATCTGCAAGAACGAAAGAGCAAGTAAAAGAAGGGTTAGTGGTTACAACAAAATGAAACACAATAATGTTTGATTTATGAATTCCTACAGGACGGTGCATCTGACGTAGTACAGCAGAGGACAGATCCTTGGAAAGATAATCTTTGATGGTTCCACTGTACATGTAGTTCAATTATCATAGTGTTTTCAAAAATGTAGGGTCTGTTTTCTGCCAGAATCACAATTGTTTAAAGGTCTTATGGGGCATTCACATCAAAAGCGATAAGCCATAGGGGTTTGAGTAGCAGTTCCACATACACGGTCAATGTAAAACGGTAAAACATGACAAGCAATTTAGGGGACTGCTTGTCACCTTTCCGAAGTAAGCAAAGAAGTGAACAAGGAAGATGCATGGGCTAACGCAGTACTTCTCAAATAGACCGGGGGTCCTACGGGGGGGGTAACGTTTTACCCCCAGGATAGCCGGGAGGTGGTACTCTCAGGTACCGTATTTTCCGCACTATAAGGCGCACCGTGTTATAAGGCACACCTTCAATGAATGACAACTGTCGAGCTATTTTAAGAGTTTTAACATGACCGTAGTTAGCCAAACATAAAACTTCCAGAAGTCAGAAGTTAGCTGAAACTAGTTTAGAGGTGCCCGCAGGGTATGTTCTAAAAATAAAACTAGCCAACAAAAGGGTGAAAAATCGTACTGTTACTGCGCTCTTTCATACAGTTACACTTCCAATGGTATTCAAATGAGGTGCAATGACGGTGGTAAAAAGAGCGTCTGCTATTGTATGTCCCAGAACTGATTAATATTACATTGTTCAGGAAGTCTGTATTAAGTGTCCTTGAAGTAGCCGTCAGTCTCATAAAGGTTGGTGAGCCCCGATGTAGAGCATTTGATGAAATATCCATAGAAGTAAGTACAAAAGGCACCAAAATTGTTTTTGAAAAAAGTCTAAGCAAAAGTCAAACCATAAATTCAATTCCAAGATTGGGCAAATGGGAAATGGTTGTCTAATGAAGCCGATCATTGTCACTCACTCTCGAATTCAATTCCAAGATATGATTGTCTGATGAAGCCGATCATTGTCACTCACTCTCATGTGGTCAAATGAAATTCCAACTTTGTCTGTGAAGTCTTCACTGAAGAGAGGGATCTTGGCATAGCGTTGGCTGAAGTGGTTCAACATGATGAACTCTGCGTTCATCTTCACACCAACGCCAATGGCCTGGGAGGTTGTGCTATCAAAAAAAAAAGTCACAAGGGAAACATTTTAATAGTAATGGTCTGGGAAGAAAAAATAAAATAAATAAATAAGAAATCAGTACATATTGATTCATGCATAACCGCTAAAGCAGTGGTACCCAACATTTTTTTGGATCATTAAATTTTCTAAATAAAACATTGTTTAGATTTGATTCTGTTAGTATTGGAGTCTGACTGGCCTATTGTTTTGAAACATTGACAGATTATCTTTGATTATCTTTTCATCACTCTCCATAACTTTCATATACTGTGAATGATTTAATAATAAGAATATCCATCCATCCATCCATCCATTTTCATCCGCTTATCCGTTACCGGGTCGCTGGGGCAGCAGTCGCCACCCATTCATTTTTTATTAATTCATGCAATTGCAGTGCCTTGATTTGGTACTAATTATTGACATCATAATTTCTTTCGGTACCAGGTGTTTCCGGCCTTGGTTTCATCATTTTTTCGGTTTTCAGTTTTGGCCAAGAATTTTCATTTTGGCGCATCACTCATTTATTTGAAGCACGATAATGTTTTTTTTTTTTTTAAAGTAAGTGTTTAAAAAGGCTTCACTGAGATGAACTGAAACTAAAACATGAAGTAAAATAAAAACATTTCCAAATAAAAGTGATTGTGCTTGAAGTGCTTCAAGAAATTGAAATTGAACATTTTTTTTTTTTCCGAGTGAGAAGAATCACTCGGTGACTGACAACTCCTCTTGTTTTACGCTACGTCAAAGTTGATTCGCATTTCCGGCCACTTTCTCTACACACTTGTCACGACATGTAATGGATTTTTTTTTAAATGTTTCAATTATATAAGTTGGCTGGGTTTACGACTTATACTAAGATGTGACTTACACAATAAAATATATATTTTACGTTTGTTATTTTCACACTCGCAGCCACTAGAGGGCACTAGTGCAACTTATACTCTAGAGCAACTTATATATATATATTTTTTCTTCTTCATTATGCGTTTTCTGGCTGGTGCGACTTATACTCGGAACGGTATATGGTATATGTTCATCCGTAACGTTCATCCTTCCAATTAGTTTCAATTATTTTTCTGACGATCTTTCTTATCTTTCATGGATTACTAGATCCAACCAACCAAGTACAAACCGTGAACCGTTCTTTAAAGCTCTGCTGCGGCTGGTTAAAAAAAACCAACCGTTTCCTCTCACCTGTGCCTCTTCTCTGCGGCGTCCTGTTCAAGCCCGTCTTCTAATGTTGCCTCGTGTATTAACAAAGTTGCGTTCTTTCCTGCAACACACGTGCACACTCAACTGTCACGTCACTTAAATACAGCTCTTAGTGTCTCTTAGTGCCACAGCCTCTTTGTTGGGTCATCCATTAAGGCTAAAATGCTTTTATCATTTTCTTTACGCCATCTATTGGGGAAACGTGGGTATTGCAGGGAAACGACAGAAGTATAATGATAATATAAATAAATTAGATCATTCGGAAAAGTTTGGCGGGCCGAATTAAAAAGCGGATCTGGCCGCATCCGGCCCCCAGGCCTATACACTGATACTTTTGTCAGAGCTAAGAGGAGAATTTCCAGGTCAGCTTCGGTTAGATTTTAAATAGTGTTTAAGACCTAAACAGAAATGTTCAGTTGAAAGAAGTCAAATGTAGCTTCGGTAGATTTTAAATAGTGTTTAAGAGTTTCAAGTTCATGTGACCTAAATAGAAATGTTCAGTTGAAAGAAGTCAAATGCACTGAGATTGTTTAGCAGCTGCAGAAATAACCAAAAATCTAGAATTGCTTGAATTTAAAAATCAGAAACTACATGTTTAGATATTCATAAAATAGATTAAAAACTAGGGGTGTCAAATTATTGCGTAATAATTGCAATTAATTAATTACAGTCATATTTAGGGCGTTAGGTTTTTTTTAATCGTGGTAATCTAAGTTTTCTTTAACTTTACTGTTTTTATTTTTTATTTTTAGAACTTGCTTAACGCCGAAGCAGCTCAGGTTTAGCATACCACATCAACGCAAAAGCACCCAGTCACGAGTGTAGCCACAGCTAACGTTAGCGGCGAAGATGTTAGCAATTTAGTGCGTCATAACAAAGCTCTTCGCCGAACTAAACTCCAGGAGAACACCCCGCTTAAGAGCAAGTCTGCGACCGACGGGCTAGCGAATGTTCTTGCCAAGTGGATAGCAGATGAACTGCAGGTTGATAAACATACAAGAAGACAGCTTAACAGATGTGTTGCGAAGACCAGCACTGGGACTGATGGAAGTTCGGTGTTCAATACTTGCGACTTATAGTACAGAAAATACGATAGTTATTGTCATAAAATTATCGGGTATGAAATATTTGTGTATTTATACGTGAATTTGAATCGATAATTAAGCATGAAATGTGACCTAAACAATCGAAATTAAATTGGGAGATTCTTAAAAATTCCCAGCCCTAGGTAAACGATGAATAAATAAATAACTAGATTTAAGCCAGAAACAGCTAATAGTTAGCCAACAACAAAAAAAATAACCTTATATCCTACAAAAGTCAAACTTACCTAAGTGCACAAAGGCATCACAGGGCATTGTGTCTCCAGAGAAAGCTAGTTTCCAACCTGACTGGTGAGTAATGCAGCAGGCAAAGGCGTTCTGGTAGTGATGTACTTTGCATGTCTGAAACTAAGAAACGGGAAAAAAAGAAAAGGAATAAATTGATTATTACGGTTAGTAACTCGATGTATATATATATTTATGCTCAAACAAACCGTTAAGAGATCGTTCTTCTTCAGCATTTCTGTCACGAGTGACTTTGTCCACTGTTTGGTCGTCTCGGCACCAACACACAGAGCCATGTTTGGGATGAATCTGTAAAACCAGAACACGTGACATCAAGTGGTCAAGTCAAAGTAATGAAGAAAATCCCAATATAGCAAAAAGGAACACAGACGTTGAAATTGAATGGCATGGCTTTCTACAAAGTTATAGAGGACACATTAATAGAAAAAAATAGATAAATACTTGTAAGAGAAAGTACAATTAAATTGCTTTTTTTTTAAAAAAAAACTTAGTATATCGTTGAGCCAATAGTATCGCAGCACATTGCAACATATTGTGTAATTCCACCTGTATCGTGACGCGTATCAAATTCAAATCACTTACGCTAGCCTACAAAATTAATGGGTCTGCTCCAATCTAATTGAGCACCGTGATAAAGGCTTTTTTCCCATATTAAATTATTATCTTTTTTTTCTCAACACTTTACTGTTTTATTCTCATAGATTTACAACTATAATTTCGTCATTTTTTTAATTTTTTTTTTTTTTTCCCTATTATGTCACCCTATTACTTTGTCGTACAAAATAGCCACTTATTAGCGAAACATAGCACTGCACATAATTACTAGGACTATTACTATACTAAAAAGTGAAGGTTTGTTTTGAGTGGTTAAATGTTGCGTGACTACATACTTGACATAGCCGACAATCTCTTCACAGTGGTCATGATATTGATTGAGCCAGCTCATAATCTGCCTCGGTGCGATCAGGCTGATTGGGGTCAAGGATAACCCTAGGATTTTCTGGAGACAAAAATGTACTTCAGTTAAAGTCAAGGCGCGATGAACAACAGAATTAAATGTCATCGAGATACGGCCAAAGTTATTGCCACATTTGCAATTCTATCAAATTTTACACATAGCAACTCGATCTAATCTACAACTGAAATTTAATAATTATTTTAACTGTTAACCACAGATATACCGTAATGCAAAAAAAAAAAAAAAAAATCACAATTTTGGGATCAGTTTATCAGGCTCGGCTTATACGCGAATCAGCTAATACTCGAGTTTGTACGGTAATGAATAATAATTCTGGTGCAAAACGTTTCACCTCCATATTGGAAGGATAAACGTTACGGATGAACATATACCGTAACCGAGTATAAGTCGCACCAGCCAGAAAACACATAATGAAGAAGAAAAAAAACATATATAAGTTGCACTACTGCTCTCTAGTGGCTGCCAGTGTGAACATAACAAACGTAAAAAATATATATTTTATTGTGTAAGTCACATCTTAGTATAAGTCGTAAACCCAGCCGTAGGATGGAAAAAAAAGTGCAACTTATAGTCCGGAAAATATGGTCATGATCACATGATGATGTGCAGCGACCAGTTCAGAAATTGCGCAAAATGATTGCCCTTTCTGAAAGTCGAGTGTATATTATCCATTATAATATGGATTAATTCCATATTACCTCACATGGGAGTCGACTGTCAACTAATGAGGAAAGTTTTTTTTTCCTTTTGGAGAGTGACAACAATTGGCTACTCGGTGGTTCAGCGTCAAAAACATTCCTGAAAGAGTTAAAGGACAAAGTGTTTTTGTTTACCATGGCTTTCTCTCTCTGATACAGAACATTCAGCAGTCCCTGAGACAAAAGGTTTAAAGGTTAGCAGACATCTCAGAAGTACACTGTCCGTCAATGATCGTCATTAACGAATCCTTTTAAACTGTGTCGGGGTTTAACAGTCAACTGGAGATTTAAATAAAGCTCCTACGGTGTGATGATCAGCGTGCATGTGCGAGATGAAGACGGTGGATATTTTTGATAAAGCTGTGTCCACACTGTCTCCATAATGTTTGCAGAGTTGACTGAAGGTTCCTTCTCCGCAGTCCAGCAGCATCGACTGATCGGGGCTACAAGGGAACGAAACACAAAGTCATTCAAATTCAGCTTTTTGTCTTCTCGTCGTAAACCAGAAAACATACATTTTCCTCATGGTGTATTGCAATATTTCTGGCTTTAAAAGATGAAAGATATTTAGAAGATATTTTAAAGATATTTGGCATTGTGACAAGAAATCTTTTGTTTGTGTCATTTTCCCAATATTTATCTCTATTCCAAATTATGTAGCCAAAACCGACCCGCTAGATGCCCAAATTTTGTAAATAAAAAAAATATAAAAACATTTAATTTTCAGGATATTTCTTGTACAAATATATTTCATTAAATATGAATAAATAATAATAAATATATGATATACTTTTATATATAAAGTATAGTATATAAAGTATATACTATATATAGTATATATTATATTATATACTTTATATATTATGTGCTTGTCTGCATGAAAACAAAGGGGAAAAACATTATTGTTAATTACCATAATTTCCAGACTATGAGCCGCTAATTTTACAGGCTAACCATACAGTCCATACAGCTAGCAATCACTGACTTTTCTGGTAGGCTACTGTGTGTTATGCTAGTAGCATATGGGGGCGCACGCGGGAGAGAATGGTAGCGAAATTTTGAGAGCAGTTTGAGCCCTGTCATGTTGAAGCGCGAGTTGGTTCTAGAGGAGCTGTTGTTGAAACTCCGTTTATGTTCTGTTGTGGTCGGTGTGGCTGATAATAAAGAGCCCAACTTAGCTCCGGAGCTAGCGTTAGCTTTGGCCCACAGTGCTATACACAGTGAGTTGTATAGCACTACAAAGAGGATAAATTAGTGCTTGCTTCTTTCATTAATTCATCTTTTCAGTGTTTAAATCTTTTTTGTGTTGGTCTTGAACAACACCTACACGTTTTTCATCTTATTTTCAGGGCAAATAAAGCAAAGTTTCTCACCTGATATTTACTAAAGTACCACTGACGTTTCTGATCTTCATTGGAAGAGCTGATCCTGTTCCCAAGAAAACCACCTCAGGGTATTTTGGCCCTAATGCACAAACGTTTAAATTTTACATATACATAGTAATGTTGACAATGACCAACTACATGTTAATAAATAGACCCAAAAACATTAACCCTTTCATGCATGACGGTCACTACAGTGGACAGCTATGAAAATGTCATTTTCTATGATAAGAATAGGTTTTGATGGTGTTGCAGTGTTGCATATAAGCCTCTACAGTGGACGCCTGCGAATCACCCAACACTGCCATACAGTGGTCAGCTTTTGCAACTGCAGAATAATTGTGTCAACATTCAAAAAGAAAATTTGGTGTATAAAAACAGAACCAAACCAGTATAAGGGTTAAATTAAAATTATTATTTCTTTTTCTATCATCAGAAACTAACCTGAAGCTTCTGCAGCGTCTGTTGAGCAAACGCTCTTGCAATTTTCCACTTCTTCCAGAAAGTTTGGGATCTCTGACGCCTCCTTCACAAACTCCTCTGTGTTGCAGGAAGGGACGGCATCTCTAATTGAGGAAAAACAGCAGTTAGCACATACAGTAAGCACACATACACACGCCCATTTTTTTTTTTTTTTAACTATAGGCTTTTGTTGAACAATTATGGAAAAAGACAACGAAAGAACAAAGCAACCTTTGCCATTCCATTCCAGGTCGAAGTTGAAACTTGAGCAGACACTCTCCTCTGACAATGGGGACATGTAGAGTGGCCTGAGGCGCCTGTGGATAAAAACAGGTAGTTTACGATCATTTTGTTAATTTATAAAAATCCATAAATTAGCCACATTACTGTTTGAGCCGCAGGGTTCAAAGCGGGTGAAAAATGTAGCGGCTTGTAGTCCGGAAATTACGGTATTCCCACAATTGGTGATGGATGCAACTTGCCACCACTCATATTCTTGTGTGCAAACACAAATGTATCCAGCTCACTGTAAATGCAACTGTTACTCTCGTACAGTCATTCGCCTATAAGCTTCATTAAAGCTTCGATAACAACTTTGAATTAAACTCTCCATTAAAACTCTTAAAAACAAACCATGTTGTTCATTTTCGGTTTTATTATTCACTCCAAGGCAGAGGTGGGACCAAGTCATTGCTTTGCAAGTCACAAGCAAGTCTCAAGTCTTTGCACTCAAGTCCGAATCAAGTCTCAAGTCAAAATAGGCTAAGTCCGAGTCGAATCCAAGTCAAGACTGAAAAGTGTCAAGTCAAGTCCCAAGTCCTGCCGTTTCTGTTTCGAGTCCTTTCGAGTCCTTCCACTCACTGCCACTCGTTTTTTTGTTGACCAAATCGTAGTTTTTAAATCCGAACAACACGATCTTTGGTATTATTTTCTCTAACCCGCGCATTGTTCAACAGCTCTTTCTCAGTGGTTGTCCCGCAATTCGACTGGCTCGATATTATCGCGTCAAAACAATGTGGGTCTAACTTGATTGGATGTTGTGCCGACAGCACATACACACACAGACGCACACACGTACACAATGCAATGATATACAATGATACAGAGCGCTCCTCAATAACTTACTTTATAATCTTTGGGTTTTGGAGAAAGTATCAAGTCTTGTTGAGTCAAAGGGCTCGAGTCCAAGTGAAGTCACGAGTCATTGATGTTAAAGTCCAAGTCGAGTTGCAAGTCTCTTTACATTTTGTCAAGTCGAGTCGAAAGTCATCAAATTGATGGCTCGAGTCAAGGTGACTGTTGACAAACTTGCCAAAACACGACGTATAGTTCGGACACTACAATAATAAAACTGCATTACGAAAAAAAAAAAAAAACGCAGCACGTATCAGTAGTAAGAAGGTCATCGAAAGGGAAATTGAAGGATCCAGACATTAAAATGTTAGAGACAGCTAGCACCATGCACAGTGTTTACCTTTGTTCTGTAGGACCTCAGTGGTGGGAACACCTCAGGGTGAATCATGTTGAGCTGAGCCTGGATCTTGTATGACCTGATGTTGTGGTCAGTGCAGGCATGTTCATTCAGGATCAGGTGTGTAGCTGAGGAAAATCTGTGGAATTGGGAAAAGAAAAAAGGAGAAATCTGCCTTCATATTGATACGTCCAAAAACTCAGAACTCTCTAAGGCAGAGGTTCCCAAAATGGCGGGTGAATGAATGAATAAAACGTTACGCAGTATATTGTCCAATGCTGCCCAAAGCTCCCTTTTGGAACAAATCAGTTGTCGAACAAGGTTTTGAACTAAAAATTGCGCCGGTTGTCGTACCATAGCTCGGTTAGCGAACAAGTCAACAATAGCACGCAGAATATATAAGTTAAGAATTGTTGTTTGATTTTGACTTTATTTCTTGCGTTTTGCTTTTTTTTTCGTTTTTTATTTCATAAATCACCATGGGAAAGGCGGAAACGAAAAACAGAACAACAACAGAAGTGGATAAAGATTATACGAAAGCGTAAGAATGGCGCTCGTGTTTTAGATCTGGCGTTAAAGTACGGCTTACCAGAGTCGTCGATTTGTACCGTCATTAATCCAATTTAACACCAATGTTGAAATTAGTAACACCATCGCTAACGTCCAACGATACAATATCCCAGAAGAATGACAGTTTTCATCAATTCATGTAAAAGTACAACACTCTAGTACTCTTCTTTAATTTCCCCAATATACAATATCACATCACAAAAAAAAAGGTAGCATGGGGGACCCTTTAAAAATGATGATGAAAAATCAGGTAATCCCTTTAAGAGAAATGATGATAAAAAATCAGGTAATCCCTTTAAGAGAAATTTCCAAACAAAAAAAAATGATGTAGCTGGAAAATTGTCCTTTGGTCCACCCATTCCTGGGACATGTGAGCCTTGTTTTCCTTGTATCACAAATTCCACCAATAAAAAAAATGTTACTCTAAGCTAACGTTGCCAAAGGAGTGACTGTGGTCTCAGACATTAGAAGATGTGGAAAAGTTGCTACTGATTTGGATTCGGGCACTAATTGAGTTGGAACATGTTCTTACGAATGAAGCAGAGAATGTTTGGGAAGCACTTATTCAAGGAATCTACTTTTAGATTAGGGTCAAATGAATCCTACCTTTCCATCCACGCTTTATATTGACCAGTGTTTAAAACAGATTCAGGCGTCATGTGGACCACCAGCACTGCAGGATCTTCTTCACCATGGATTTGGTATCTGTAGCAAACGAGTAGAAGTCGAGTCAAATCCAGTTATATTTATGACCAGGATGATTTTGAAACAGTTTCTAAAAAAATAAAGTCACTTTTATTTAGACTTCAGTGATCTTGTCATTAAACATAGAAAGCTTTTTTTTGCCATCTAGACATCGATGTCCTTTAATCATTCCAGTTTTTCCAGAGTTGTATATATATTTCAGATGTCAACTTTCAGATAGACAGATACTATATCAGGCGTGGGCAAACTTTTTGTGACATGCGGGTCACAAATAGATGGAGCAGATAGATGGAGCGTTCGTATGAATTGAAAAAGTCCTATAAACTTCGTTTCACTTCTTAAATATCACTGTGTTTCGTTTGCTATACGATATATTTGATTGAAATTGCTGTTCCGAACAACCAATGATCCATAAAGGAAAATCTTGAAAATGATCAGGGGTGCCCAAACTTTTTCCCATACCACTGGAAATGACACGCGAGTCGAAGGCCCTGACGGTTAACAATTATGTCCTCAAACAAAACCCCCACCGATTGACAAAGTTGCCGTTTGTTTAACTTAATAATAAATGGTTGAGATTGCCGAATGTGAGAAGCCATAACCGTTCAGCGATCACCTGGACCTTGTTACCTCTGTCATACGTCTCGATTATTTTCCTTTTTCTACCCATGAATGGTGAATAACAACTTTCAAAAAGTCCATATTAAGAGACTAAGTGTCACCTTTTCAGTTGCTCATTCAAGCAGACGGCTGAAACAAACTCCTCAGACGGACACTCAACGATAATAAAGATGGGTCCAGGATACGTCGGGGTGCAAACCTGCTCAGGCTGGATCTGTTGGGAAAAAAAAACAATAAAACAAATAAATATTGTAATACTAAGAAATGTCAACACTGTGAATGTGCAGAATGAAGTATATACCTCTACTCCATTATATGTGATTGTCCTCCCAGCCTTTAGCTCTGCAATTAATGGACCAATTGCTGCTGTACCTCTGTATGGTGTAAGAACATTACAAATGTAAAAAAAAATTTTTTACAAATTTTTTGTTTTGTTTTTTTACCAAATTTCTGCATGCTCACTTAAATGTAGCTTGTATCTTTGAGGGAAAACTTGGGCCCACTTATTGTCTTTTTTTTTTTTTTTTGGATCACTAAATTATCCATAGGATTATTTTAACCGTGAAAAATATAGCATTGTTTTTTTTTACATTTTGTCAAACGTTTAAGTATATTTTAATCATTTTAATAAAAATAGCTGTTTTCTTCCATCCTTAATATTCACAGTTTTAGCTAACCCTTAGCTCGCGTGTCGGCCCATGTGCTATTGTTGAAATATTTTCTGCTAATGTTAGGTTAACTCTACGGATGCATCGAAATTAAAATTTTTGGCCAAAACCGAAATCTGAAAATGTGGAAACCAAGGCTGAAAAGCGAAAGGAATTATAATGCCAGTTGTTAGTACCGTTGCATTGAGCAACTGTGTACTAAACCTAAAAAAAAAAAAATCAAGGCACTACAATTGCATAAATTAATATTGTTTCAAGAATAAAATATTTTTAAAAATTATATAAAATATTTATTTAGCACATTCCAACAATGCACAATATAAACCTCAAAATAAAATGTTAACCAACTGTGTTTCAATATTTAATATTTAGCTAACTATTTTGCTAGCTAGCTTATTTGTCTTCTTCTCTATATGAGGCTTTCTCTATGATTTTGTACTTTTAGAAATTGTATCCAACTTTAAATTATTTCTGAGATACTATATACTGAGTAACTTAACATACTTCCTTTTTTTTATTATCGTTTGGTTAGCTTAATTTACCTATTTCATGGGAACCTTTTTAGGCAGTAACCTCCATGAAAGTGTATTAAAAACTTTAAAAAAATGCAATTTGCAAAGTGTGATTTTTTTTTTTTAGGTCCATGCACCAAAAATAAAATATAGCAATTTGGCGAAAATGTCACTTGATCTCAATGCCTTAACATGTTGCCGATATTTTATGTTTGTAAATAAGCTATAACTAATTTAACAATTTACCTTTCTTAGACACCAGATTTCAGTAAAAAAACTCAAACAGACCTACATCAAGACTAATGACAGCAACAAAGACTTGGTATTGATCATTAAGGTTAATATTCACCACGTCAGATTAATGAACCCTCGCCCTAACACTGAGTGATGTATGACTAAACATCAATAACAGACACTCACACAGGGAGACCCAGGTCAACTGCCTGAGACACCAGGAAATTCCCTTTCTTTGGGTGAACCTTAAAAAAAATGAAGGAGACAAGGTTGTGCTTTACGAAGTGTCCTCCGTGTAATGATCAGGACTAAGGATTTAAAGCCATTCACTGTTTCCTACCTTACATACAAAAGCAACCGCCAAAGACGTATCTCTGGTTGTTGGTCGTCTTTCACCTTCAGAAATGTAAGGGGAAAAAGAGCATTTTTGAGAAAAAACTCAAAAAAAGAAAGCTGATGAATTGTGATGGTTAGAAACATTAAATACCATTTTTTTTCTTTCTTTTCTCAGGGTTAAATGCAAATTACCTCTAAATTCACCGAGACCTTGACCTTCACGCTCTGTAGACCGAGAAGGGCTGCCTGGTGTCGCGGTACTTATCCTACCTCGATCTTCTGACTGGGCTACGGAAAGATCGAATAAAAAAAATAGCAAATGATCACTGAAGAAATAAGGGGTTTCTAAAAACCACTGATAACTTAAAGCTAAAAGTTTAAAAAAAAAAAAAAAAAAAAGGAGAATACACAAAAGCAGGGGACGAATCAACTCACAGAAGATCGGAACCTGGTAAATCGTCATGGTTTCGTCTGAATAGGGCTGTTCTGTGTACGGTCGAACCGCTGTGAGAATGACAATAAATAATCACACCAACAGAATGCGAAAGAAAAAAAAAAGCACACTTGTATATCAGAGAAATAAAATATATAAAAGAAATATATATGTGGATGAACTCATTTGGTGATTTTTGAATAAAAGCTTAAAACAGGCAGGGGCAAACTTTTTGACTTTTGCGGGCCACAAATGTCCTAAAATTGAAAACAAAATCAGGCTGGGACAGGAGCAGATGGGAGTGTTTCGGGCTGGGACAGGAGCAGATGGGAGTGTTCTTGTGAAGTGAGATAACATGACATGTCAAAGTCATGCATAGCGGCTAATATGCTAAAATGCATGTTTGAATCCATGCCTGGTTTAAAACCAATGAGGTACATACATAGTGCGATGTCTTCAAGCGATCCGGAAAAAACTTTGATCGCATTAACAAATTTCTCCTGTTGCAAGAGAGAGAGAGAGAGAGACGCACATACATTAATGTCCATCTGTCAAGTTAAAGTTCTCAATTATTGTGTGTATCATACGGTTCACTTACCAGCTGTGGGGGTCCAGAGAGAGCACATTTAGTGACACCAATGTCCCTCAATGTTAATATCATTCCTACACAAAAGGAAAACAGACAGGCATCAAACTCTCAGCTAACATTCATTTAACTGTATTTTTGAATAAACTGGCTTTCTGTGAACCATGTGGCCATAACATAAAATGTACAGTAATTTCCGGACCATAAGCCGCTACTTTTTTCCACACGCTTGGAACCCTGCGACTTAACCAATGATGCTAAGGCTAGGCTAATTAATGGATTTTTACCGGCTAACAAAGTTCATGCCGCTAGCGATCCATGACAGGCTACTGTGTGCTATACTAGCAGCGTATGTCTGTCTGTCTGTGAATGGCTGTGTGCCTAAATGTGCGAGAGAGTGAGAGAACGGTAGCAAAAGTCATGTTGATGCGTGAGTTGGTTATACAGGGTGTGGAAAAAAGTGAAAAAAATAAAAATCTTTCTGTGTAAATATCCCATGTTACAACAGGGACGTCTGCGGCTTACGTATCGAGAGGTGTGGCCTATAAATGTACAATTATTTTTTTCTTTTGAAATTTAGTGGGTGCGACCTATATTCAGGTGCGCTCAATAGTCCGGATATTACGGTAGTTTTTTTGGGGTTTTTTTTAGCTCATTTCACCTTTTGAAATGAGCTATTTTTTTATTTTGCTAACCATTAACTCTTTTTGGCCAGAAACCACATCACTATCTAACGTTAGCTAAAGGCAGAGGTGGGACCAAGTCCTTACTTTGCCTCAAGTCATAAGTAAGTCTCAAGTCTTTGCACTCAAGTCTCAAGTCAAGACAGGCAAAGTCCGAGTCGAGTCCAAGTCAAGACTGAAAAGTGTCAAGTCAAGTCCCAAGTCATTTCGTTTCTGTTTCGAGTCCTTTTAAACAAAATAATAATATATTTACACAGATCACTTTGGGTTTTGGAGAAAGTCTCGAGTCACGTCGAGTCAAAGGGCCCAAGTCCAAGTTAAGTCACGAGTCACTGATGTTAAAGTCCAAGTCGAGTTGCAAGTCTCTTTACATTTTGTCAAGTCGATTCTAAAGTCCTCAAATTGATGACTCGAGTCTGACTCGAGTCCAAGTCATGAGACTCGAGTCCACACCTCTGGCTAAAGGTGACTCTTTTTATTATTTCTGGCACCGGTCGGACTCAAATGATTCTGAAAAAAAATAATGTATTTACCTGATAAACCACCCACCGTCTCCCAGCTCACTCTGGTCAGGAAAATGTTGTCTAGGCTAGACACTCTGAGCCTGTCGGGGAAACAAAAATAAATGCCCGGGAACTTCTGCTAACCCTTTAATGAAGTTAAGATACAGTGTGTGTTTTTTCGAAACTCACTTGTGCTCCTGCATGAGTCTCTGAGTTCCTTCCCCACAGTTGAACAGATACCTAGAGCGGAAAGGAAAAAGAAAAGGAGACAGAAGAGTTAGCGTGGACAAGGGGTCGCCGTTTTATATAATGGACACACAAGACGTTTTTATATTAAGACGCCAATCAACTTCTAATATACTGTTAAACCAAGGCTAACTTTCTGCTCCCATATTTATGGGCTTTTTTTTCATTCCCTTTCTTATTCATTTTATTGGCTTTAGTGACATTAAAAAACATTACCTTTACTATTAAAAAAGGAATTACTGTATATACGTAACAAAAGTCTAGAAATTCACATTCACAGAATTCACGTTCTACACGAATGTAATTGCTGTTTTTTTTTTTTTTTTTCATGATTTTCAAAGATTATGGGCCATACCAAATAGTGAGTGGAAGGATATTATGACTAGAAAATCTCTTTTTTGTGACTGAAAAAAATATCCAAGAGCCGCATCCTAGGACACTATACCGAAAACACACTTGACACTAGCCTTCATGAGAAGATACATTTTGTTTCTGAAGGACATACAGTGCCTAAAAGGGAGCACATTTGTCAAATGGTAAAAAAAAAGGCTGCTTGTTGTGAGGTACACGTCTTTCTATAATTAATTTGTCTGGCACTGAGGGTTTTGGTTTTGGAAAAGGTAGTGGGAGTCGAACATTTATATTTGGGTTTATGTGCCAGAATTATAGATTTGAGAAAGAGATACATTTAACAAACAATTGGTTTTGCTTTGATGTATAGAAGCGACTGTAGTATTTCACAAAGTAAAATGTACAGCAGGAGTGACTTCTAGGTTAAAGCTGGCAATTCCAACAAATATGTTTATATTTCCCATCCATCTTAAAGTAATCCATGTATTTATTTATTTGGATTTTTATTCATTTACAATGTTATTCTTTTATTGTCAGATTACAATGATATATTCTTCTTTTTCCTTAATATCAAATATATACAGTATGTCCATATGCAGGTTCGTATGCACGTATATGCATGTTTTATGTTAGACATAATAAGTGTATTTCATGTCAAGTATTTTTTTTTTGTTAAGATTAAACGCTGAAAAAACAGTTTGAACTAAACAATACAGAATAATTTTAAATGCCCAAAACAGAGTTATTAAAGGTGAGTGAATTATTTTTATTTTTGAGGTAGAATTTTTTCATGTTTCGGTGTTTGCTGTGGAAACTGTATTATATTCCACTTTCGTTTATAAAAATTAAAAAACGACCCACCTACCTGTTAAACTCAGAGAAGACGTAAACAGACGCAGGATTGTCTCTGCTTCCTGCACCGATCACCTGCAGGTAAACCGTAGACGGTCCGTCAGAAGTTCCTCTTTTGCTCAAGTTATTTTTAGTTTTCTGTCTTCGCAACACTTGCTTCTCTTTCTGTTTGAGGTTTTTCATCTTCCCGGGCCCCACGCTGGTTGTGTTAGTCGCCATATTACGAAAAAATTGGAACGGGGTGAGAGAATCCCGGTGTAGAGTAGCAGCGAAACCGGTGCTTTTCGAGGAGAGAAAGGTTAAAAAATACCTTTGCTTCAAATAGATTGCATTCATGATAATTTCATACAATGTTTAGAATAATCAACAGACCATGTGTCCAAAAAGAACTAAACATTGGCATTTTATAAATCCCTTTTATCAGCATTATTTACCTAAAAGTCCATCAGTACCAACTTTCGAGATTCTAACCCTCGTGATATTTTCCTGGCGCATTAAGATGACGTACATACGCAACCTATTGGCCAACGTACGTATTTGACCCTTTTCTTATTGATGATATACGTCAGCGAGTCCGCCATCTTTGAAGAGTCGAAACAAAAATAATTCGGGACAAATAATATTAGCTGCCAACCCAACCACGAAACTAAAGAACAATGTTAACTTACTGCTGACATAGTTCTTTCAACGCCACACATAATTTAATTTCTTATCTTATTTCTTCTTTATATATCTTTATCTTATATATATCAAGTATTAAACGTGTTTTACACAATCTAGCTGGTTATAATACCGGAATATTAACTTAATTAACTTAACTAACTTAATCATTTTATTAATCACTTATAAACGTCAGCTTTAACTCCATCTTAAGGTGTGATAATATAACAAATCAAGTATGTTAAAACATCTAACTTTCCAGATAGGCAAACTGAAGAAAGAAAAAAACAAACCCACCTCCAATTCTAAATCCGAACCTTATTGGCAATAAAGATGAAAGTAGGCATCCCACAGAATCCGCACAAATCGAGGCAATCTACCAGAAAACCCTGAGACTTTCATCTTTATGTCACAATCCCCGTCACAACCCCACCCCCAGCTTCCCCCGTCTGAAATTTCTGATTTCTGATGTCTTTTTACTTCTGTCCAGTGTCTCATCAAACAGCCTATGCTATAGGCAACCCAGGCGAGTCACTGACACATACATTATTTTTAATCAAAAGTTTCCTAAGACCACAATCTCATAATTTTTATTACACATCCCCATCCGCCAATATGGATGAAACGTTCACGTTTTCCTAACTATTTGATGCAGGATCTATGTCCAAAACAAAGCAACAACATAACTCGTGATTTTTATTGCCTCCCACAGAAAACATAGAGCTTCCTTGTGGGCGGGCCTTTAGAGAGACCGAAGTGTGACGTAATATTTGTTGTGGAAGAAGAAGAATCATCGCAGTAACTCCAACGCCAGAAGAATGGAGACTAACAGGGATGATTGGAAGGTATTTCTTTATTTAAACCAATTGTAGGGCTCTTTTTATAAAGTTTCCAAACGTTGACAACGTATCTTAGGTCAAGCTTTTAACATTTTCCCGGAAAACATCCAAGCTTAGTGACGTTGTTTGCTAACGGCATGCTAGCGTTTACTTTGGGAAAGATAAAACAACGTTTAGTTTAGTTTGTAGATATCTGCGTCTTTAACCACACACGTTTTAGTTCTTTACCAGGTCTGTCAATATCAATTCGTCACATTTCTCAAGTCTAAGATTCTCTTCGTTGCCTTTTAATTTCTGGTGTGGTGGAGTAACCTGTCGGACCAGGCTTGACAAGTCACGTGATAGCTGTACGTCAGCATGATTCTATATTAAAAGAGTTTTTGTGTCATGTGTGAAACGTTATAGATAGTACGGTTTTCCAAATAAAGAAGTGGTGACAACCACTCACTGACGCGTGGGTCGCGTTGGACTGCGGAGCACTTCGTACATTAGACAATAAGGGATTAGAGAAGATGCTACAGATAGCATTATTTGATTCAAGTTATCAACTGCCATCAGTGACAACGGTTATTTTATTTACCATTTTAGCACTTTGAAAGTGTAATGTTATATTTTCTTAAAATCCCACATTTCCACAAAAACTTGTGTGTGTGTGTGTCTATATATACATATATATATAATTTTTTAATTTCATTTGTTTACAGTTGATATTTGAAAAGGAGGGGGTTTACCTTCATACAAATGCCAAAAGGAGTAACCAAGAAACCAGCCTACCAGGCTACATTCGTATTGTGGAGCGAGTAAGTAAACTCTGTCTGTTGTCAGTTTTATGTGAATGGTAATTAACTGTCAGTATTGAAAACTAAGTAGATGTGTTATGACCACTTGTGCTACTACATAGTACTCAAGCTACATTATGTAAACGTTTGAGGCGTCTGCAACAACACACAACACATCAAATGAGACTGTAAAACGGTAGAACATTTTTCAACAAACTGACAAAGTGAAAAGTAGAAAATTCAGTGACCACCAATGTCACTATACTTGTCTTGTTCCTAGGCTGGAGTGCCAGCTCTAGAGTGGAGCCCCTTGGAGGATGAAGGCCGCAGTGCCCCTGCTGTGCTCTATTCCAAAAAGGTGAAAAGGGGATTTAGTTCAATAATTTCAATTATTTTAGATACAGTAATTTCATAAACATGTCCAGTGTTTTATTTGTACCGATGTTTGTTTTTATTAGAATGGAGAAGGTGGTGAGGAGGACACAAAGTTTGATCCTGGTTATGAGCCTGACTGGGCAGTAATCAGCACTGTAAAGAAGAATCGAGAACCTGTTCCAGTGCAAGCCTCAGGTGCTCTTTTCACTTTTCACTGTAAACTCCAGTACAGGGTTGGCAAACTGTTCCACAAAGGGCCACTGTGGCTGCAGGTTTTGGTTCCAACCTATCTAGTGCACAGGCACCGACCAATCAGCTGTCTGGAGATTCAGATTAGTTGACCAACAGCGGCCCCTTCTGGAACACTTTGCCACCCCTGCTCCAGTATATCCACACAATTATACACATCGAGTGGATAAATACAGAATGTCATAGAAAGGGTAAGATTTTTCAAGTTTAGATAAGAATATTATGAGAAAACCAAACAATTATTGCCCTGTTTTATATTATATAGTTTTTATAGTTTGTACCTTATTTTCTATCCTCCCCTCTTCTAAGTCACCTTCTCCTTCTGTTGGTGGTTGGTATCATACTGCACAAATCTCTTTTAACAGATTAGAGTTCCAACCAACTAATACAGGAATAGCAAAGACAAAGTACTGAAATCAAATCTGTGTTGTCTTCACGCAAACCATCAATAAATATGTGCGGTATTCTATATTACAGTACAACAGCATTCCTCCCAACATTTGTTGTCTGTGTGCGATATAATTTGGTTTTTGATCATATTTTGAAATATCCTTCTTTATAAAACTTATCCTGCTTTATTTTGTATTGTTACAATGACATAAACTGAACAGAATATTGACTGTATGGACATTCCTTCAGTTTTTACCATTGCATGTGCAATAAATGGAACATGTTTCCAGGGTCGATGAGTAATTGCTTATCATAATTTCAATATTAATTGTATGATTTTTTTTTTCTCCATTATCACGTAGCCGTATTTCTTTGTCAAAAAGAGAGGTGACTAAATAATAATAATAATAAACTCTGGCTGTTTTTGTTTTGTGAAGCGCACCTGTTTCACAAGGTTTTTCACAGAAGTTTCAGGGTTATTCTTTTACACGTTTGGTAAAAAATCTGTCAGTTCTATTTATCAGTTTTCTTCTCTTATTAATTAAATTATTCCATTTTTTTTGTGGGTCTCTGAATGGCCATGTCTTTCATGTGCTGGTTCTTCTGGGGGGCTGCTATGGGATATGTGACAACCACTAATAGTAAGTAAGTTTGTGTGATTTTTTTTTTTTTTTACCAACCAGTAATAGTAAGTAAGTTTGTGTGATTCTCTTCATTCACCTTACAGGTCAGTGGTCATTCTCTCTGCCGCTCTCTGAGCTGTACTCGCTACGAAAGGCCCGTTTTCCTTTGGGTCGAAACCTCTTGGTGCTGACCAGTCGAGGTGGACACCCGCTGCCTCCTCTGCACTTCTACAGAGGAGGGACTAGGGAACTTTTTAGGGCCCTGACACGTTACCTAATCCTGGATCAGTGAGTGTTATACATGATTGTCATGATGTGTCAGTATATATGTAGATGCATTACATCAATCCCATTGTCATCATCAGGTCACCAGTGGATGGGCGGCTCTTCCTCACCTATCCAAGGGACTCTGGTGCCCTCTCTCAGTCATTTGACAAACTGCAGCTCTTCGATGATGGTCCTGATATTGTCTCGGTAATGTTTTGTTTGGCACTTTTTTTCTTTTTTTTTATCCCCACTTTGCAGAAATTTGCACATTACTAGCGTGAGCAAGTTAAAGCAGTAATCTGTGCTTTCATGTATACATTTTAGATACAGTCAGGCATGCATACTGTACGATGGTACTTCCCCCTTTAATGAAAGTTAAAAAAAAAGAGAAGATAAGAATGAACTGCTGTAACAAGCGACTGCTGTTTACCACATACTTTTCAATTTCGGAAAGCCCGTTGTAACTGCAAGTCTTTGTTAAATGAATAAGTCGTTAAGTGAAAACCAGCTGTAGTGCAAAACCCTTTTAAAGGAGAGAGAAAAGAGACAGATTGAATTAGGATGATTGCTGAAATACTATTAAGAACCCAATAATGTGTCTATTTTTATCTGTACCACTGTATGAGTTGCTTCCACCTAGTGACTTGAGGCTTGTTATCATTCATGGATTACAGCAGTGGTACACTTATGTCCATATGCACTATACTGTACATTGCATTCATCTCATTTACCAAGAAAAAAGTGTTCAGCTTCACTTTCCAGCCAACCAATGTTTTGGAGTTGGAAAATATGCATAAAAATTGATGATTTTTTTTTTTTTTGTCAGTACATTCACTTGCCTAAAATTATGCATTGAGAGTATATTATTAGGTTTTGTGTTTTCTGTGTTTTTAAGGAAGTATAGGAGTATCAGAGCATCTGGACATACTATCTAGAGTAGACTTAAGCTGGTCAACAGTCACATTGTCCTCCTTTCTCACAGTTTCTAAAATAGACATTGTCTTGATGGTGGCACAAGTCTCTTTTTATTCCAATATTACCTTCCAGCCTATGCATGAACAAAGAATCTTGAACAATTCCTGATAACAGCCTATTGGAAAAAAAGCTGAATTGTGGAATCATGAGACAAGTGAATATTTTTAGATTGTTTTTAGTCTTAAGTGATAACTCTATCCGACATTTGACAACTAACAATCATTTATTGTCACCAAAAATTATGACTCGGCAGTAAACCAAATTCAGCAGTTGTCTTTAATTAGAAAAAAAGTGTTCATTAAAAATAGAAATCACACTACATCAATACATCCTTTTCTTTCTCTTTGACAGAGATTCATTCTCGATCCGTATGCCACCACATTTGGTGGTTTCTCCAAAGTCACCAACTTCTTCAAGGCAGCTCTTCGTCCTCCGGACTCCTCCAGTCAGTCCTGTACACCTCGGGATCCAAGTCTGCCTTCACAGTCTGAAGAAGAGCCTGGATTTGAACTGATCACATGTGTATGAGACCAAAAGTCTAACAGGCTTATTTAAGATGAATTCCATAATTCCAGTTGTATTTTTTTTCTTAATTAAGGGTGTGGAGCTTGGTCCAAGACCTAAAGTAACCAGGGGACCACCTCTGGACAAGTGGGAGGAGTTTCTGGACGCCGAAGGCCGTGTGATGAACCCAGAACACATAAAAAAGCTTGTCTTTAAAGGGGTAAAATTCATGAATTTTTTTTTTTCTTTTTCGTGATGTATTATGTAGTTTAGGGTTCAAGACAACAGCAGATTGTCTTTAAACTATATAAATCATGTGGTTGTATTATCTTGCAGGGCATCCAGTCATCTTTGAGGAAGGAGGTGTGGATGTTCCTTCTGGGTTTTTACCCCTGGAACAGCACTGCTAAAGAACGGGAAGACATCTTATCTAGCAAAACGTTGGTTTTTTTTTTTTTATGTTAATCAATTGAAATAGCATGGTGCTAAACACCAGCGCACTAGAATTGTACATCACCACTGACTCAATTAGCACGATACATGGATTCTTAAGCATTTAAGTTCATTTGTCAGTCTCCTTCTAGACCATCAGCTCCTGATCTTGCAAGAAAAAAAAAAGAAGCTTTGTAATGCATCACAAACAAAATGTCTCTACCCCTGTCTTCAGAGATGAGTATTTTCGTATGAAGGTGCAGTGGAGGTCCATAAGTGAAGAACAGGAGATGAGAAACTCGCTTCTTAGAGGATACAGAAACCTGATTGGTAAGTGTTGACGTCTGAACCTTTGACCTTTGGTCAGGTGCTTGATCAGACACTTCATCTGTGATGTCCTCGTGTTTCTGTGACAGAGAGGGATGTCAGTAGGACTGACAGACATACCACTTTCTTCTCTGGAGATGATAACCCAGGACTCGTTCTGCTCCACGATGTGCTGATGACGTACTGCATGTACAACTTCGATCTGGGTATGAGCCATAAAAAGTACACCCTGGAGCCACCGCAAAAAATGGTTCAATGGACAGTTTACATTTTTCATATAAGTGTAGGGAGATATAAGGTCATTTTAGAGCAATTTGATCACTTCTACCTTTTGATTTCGGTTGTTGTTGTTTTTGTAGTCGGGAGGGAGCAGTTATTGCTGTCTTCTGACCATTTGTGGGTGTGAATAGCTTTTGTCCCAACATTTCACTCTTTCTGCACCAAAGTTTTCATATTGAAACATTTATACACTTAATTTCTCTACTGGGTAAACTAAGTTTCTCTTTGGCCTTTTAAATATCTTTGATTCTTTCGATATTTTCCGGACCATACGTCGCTCTGGAGTATAAGTCGCACCAGCCAATGTACATTTTCAGTGTTACAGGAGTAGCAGATACTGGTACACAAGCCTACAGTGCCCTATCGCGGCTGTCAGTGAAATTATATTTTTTTAATATATAAGTCGCACCTGAGTGCCATTGTCTTTCAGATGCTACTGTGCAAAAATTTAAGGCCACGGTGCCGAAGCTTTTGACCTCACTGCCAAATGTCACTACATTTGAAGGTAGTGTAAATAGCCTAAATATTATTCTTAACCAAACTGACAAATTGGTTGATTATACAGCAGCCCTAAAACACTAGACTACACTGCACCCATTAAAAAAAAAAAATTCTATCCAGCATTGTCAGGCTGCTCTATTGAACCGTCGATCCCTTTAACTCTGAGCAGTGACCAGTTTATGGACCTCTTCATTAATGTTAGTTGTCTAAATATTTCGTTTATTCATGTCAACAATACTTCCTCTAGATCAGACACGGGCAAACTACGGCCCGAGGTTTGGCATTTTAATTCCACCAAACTTGTCCGTTATACTATTTATTTTCTGTTTTCATTCCACTTCTGACTTTTCCTTGCAATGCGCGCATTTCCCCAATAGATAGCGTAGAAAAGGCTAAAAACATCTTTACGTCTTTATGCATGACTTTTACATGACATTTATCTTAACTTCACACAAGCACAAACGGTAAATGACGAAGTACCACAAGGTTCAGTATTTGGTCCAATTTTATTTACACTATTTACGCGCCTATTAGGAGATATTATTAGAAAGCATAATACATTCATCCATTCATCCGGATTGCACACAAAAGGTGCTCCATCTCCAGGAATGTCCAAAGGCATCAAGAACTGGATGTCCACCATCTTCCTATTTCTAAGCTTGGATAAAACAGAATTATAGTTAGCCCCAAAAATCTAGTAGAGACTTAATATTTCTATATTTATTATTTGGATCTTATTGTGGCTGTTTTGTAAACGTACACCGTTGTGTGACATGTAAAAGACATGAAAGTTGTGTTGAGTATGAAAACGTAGCCCGACATGTTATCACTCATATTTGGCAAATGAATTAATTACAAAATCATCATTATTTGAATTTTATTTGGAGTTACAGTTAGACTTCCTCTGGCCCTGTACTCCGTCAAATTACTGCCTTGTTTTGACTGTTTCTGAACTGGTTTCGTTTCTGTTCGTTAGGTTACGTGCAGGGGTTGAGCGACCTCCTCTCGCCAATTCTCTATGTCACTCAAAATGAAGTGGAGTCTTTCTGGTGTCTGACTGGTTTCATGGAGCTGGTGGTAAGAAAAACATACATCCAACTGATTTAACGGCTTTAGTCAGCCAGTCTGGGTTAGTGAGTAAGAAGTCTTAGTCTATGTTTCTGTCACAGTTTTCAATCAGGAACTCCCGAACACAGTTAATGTCACTGCAAAATCTGGATGAACGTAAGCCTAATGGTTGTCCTAACGGTTTTGTTACTCTGCAGCACCAGAACTTTGAAGAGTCTCAGGAGGCAATGAAGCAGCAGCTCCTTCAGCTCAGCATCCTCGCAGAAATTGGACTACTATATACTGTATATTATTATGTTATATTTGATTCAAGCTGAAATTGGCAGGTAAATAGTCTTAAGTAGTACTTTTCATAGTACTTTTGTTGACGCTGCTGCTTGTACTACAGTAGCACAGCTTGACACACATACTTCCTATGATTTAGATGAACTATAGCACTTATCCATCTTTGGTGACCCCTCCCACACTTACACATTTGTCAGATACCTCTAACCCTTTCACGCATGACGGTCACTACAGTGGACAGCTATTAAAATGCCATTTTCTATGATAAAGAATAGGTTTTGATGGCAGTGTTGCATATAAGCCTCTACAGTGGACGCCTGAGAATCACCCAACACTGCCATACAGTGGTCAGCCTTTGCAACTGCAGAATAATTGTGTCAACATTCAAAAAGAACATTTGGTGTATAAAAACAGAACCGAATCAGTTCTTATTTTTATGTCTAAAAACACATTAAAATACAAATATAATTGGTGATCTCTGATTTAGAGACATGGTCCATTGCCAGGGTTTTACATTTTGATATGGGTAACCATTAACACACGTGACATAAGTCAAACAGGAGATGGCCCAATACATTACCACCAATCAGGAGAGGGCAATAAGATTGAACAAGAAAAACATGTCATGCGCACTGAATCACAAGAAGTATTTTTTTCTCTTTAGTTGAAAAGTACCGCAATATAAGTCCCATTTTTTTCATAATTTGGCTGAGTTTTTTTTTCGACATATACTAAGGTGCGACTTATGTATTATAATATATAATTTCACTGGTTTGGTATTTTCACACGGACAGCCACTAGAGGGCACTCTAGGTTTGTGTACTACTATCTGCTACTTCTGTACCAATGAAATTTACATGTTTGGTATTTTCACACTGATAGCTGCTAGAGGGCGCTCTATCTGGTTGGTACGCAGCTATATAGTATAGACATAATTATCCTTTTTTTTTTTTATTCTTCTTTAGTTTCTAACATAACTTTTTGTTTTCTCTGTCAGACTCTCAGGACAGTGGCTCACTCTGCTTCTGTTTCCGCTGGCTGCTCATCTGGTTTAAGAGAGAGTTTTCCTTCGAGGACATTCTTACCCTGTGGGAGGTGACTGGTGTGATGTCAGCTGCGTTTACCATTGTCAGTTCGTTGGTCCTCCTCGTCAACTCCTTCTGTTCTTTCTCAGGTCTTGTGGACTGGTCTTCCCTGTAGCAACTTTCACCTCCTGATCGCCTCCACCATTTTGGAGTCTCAAAGAGGCGAGTTGATTGGCTCCGATCACGACTTTAACACAATTCTAAAGGTATGTTTCATAATCGGTTGCAGATTTTTTCGTTGTAAGAGGGAAATCTTGATTACGTTTTGTTTCTTTTGTAGCACATTAACGAGCTGACAATGAGGTTGGATCTACAGAGTATCCTGCACCAAGCAGAGTCAATTTACCTGCAGCTGACACAGTGCAAGGTGAGCACGTTTCTTGCAGTATTTCTCAGACATCCAAAATTCATCAAGCGGGCCAGATTGTGGATCCCCTAGTACATTTTTGTCAAACTCAAGGCCCGGGGGGCCAAATGCGGACCGCCAAGCCATTTTGTGTGGCCCGCTTAACCTATAACATAGGTTAAGGTTTCTTAACCTATGAAATTAAACAGTTTTTTTTATTACACAGCAATGAACAATGTACAATATTTGTAGCTTATATAAATAATAATCAATTGCAGAAACATGTATTAGTCTGTGATGGAGTAGTTACTTCTATACCAGTGGTCCCCGTGACCTATTATTTTAAAATATTAGCATGATTATCTTTAAATAACAAAAAAGTAAATGGATATGACTGGATTTTTTTTTTGTTTTTTTTTTTGAATGAAGTTAATTAGTAAAAATTACCAAATCACCTATGGACTAGTACTGGTCCGCAGACCGGTGGTTGGGGTCCCCTGGGTCTATACAGTCTTCCATTTACAGCCGGCCCTTCAAGGGGAACTGTATTGCCATTTGTTTGGAACTGCTTTAGATGAAACCCTTAGATGAATCTCTATGATGACAATTTCTTAAACAATCTAGTTTTCCTTCAACCCAGATATCCTTAAAATAATTCTGAGGTAAGCAGCTCACTTTTTTTTTTTTTTAGTAAGGTTTTAGTGTGAGGGTCTGTGTCTCAGACAGCTTTTCAGTAGAGAGAGGGGACGTCTTTGGGTTGAGAATTACATCCCTGCACTCGTACTCACTTAAGTTGAGTTTTCAAAATAAACCAACAGCTTGTTTTGTCTTCTGAAAGAGGCATTTTCTAATGGACAATAGGAAGGAAAAACTCTTCTTCTCTTCTTTTTCTTTTTTTTTAACCTCTCGCCGCCCTTTTCTCAGGACCTCCCACTGAAGGTTCAGGGACATCCCTGACTCTGGCCAATGGGAAGCAGCGTCTCCTTAACCAATTACAGACTGTGGAACTACGTGTTTGCACCATCACTTAAATCTGTGTGTGTTTCAGTTGCAGGACCTAAACAAGTGTGATCTAAAACAAATGGTTTTCTATAGCGTCAATCTAACGTTTGAAGATTTGTAACTGACAGATGTATTTAAACATTTGTAAAATTAGGATAAAAAAAAACAACAACAAATGATTCAACTATATTTAACCAACCGTATAAAAATGACAGCGGGTAAATGCAAGTCACTGATGGCCACCAGATTATAGTTTTCCAAATCTGTTTTTCTGGTTTCAGGATTTTTTGACTAAACGCTAACTTGAAGTTCCAAGCGTGAGCTTCTTTTGCCACCAGAAGACTATTTCCTAATTTTATATAGAGAGTTAATGGCAATATTGGGTGTCAGAATTGTGTATATCGCTTTATTTTAGGTGTCTAAAACAGGCATGGGCAAACATTTTGACTCATGGGCCACCACTGTTCTAAAATTGAACGGGGGATGGAGCGTCCGTGTGAAGATAAATGTATAAATGCTAAAAAGCTTTTATCATTTTTATAAATGCCAAAATGCTTAAAAAGCTTTTATCATTTTCTACATCAGCTACTGGGGAAATGTGGGTATTACAGGGAAAAGACCGAAGTATAATGACAATAAAAATAAATTATATAGTTTGGAAAAGTTGAACGGGCCGCATCTGGCGCCCGGGTCTTAGTTTGCCCATGCCTGGTGTAAAACATTATATAACGACCAGATAACTGTAAATTTGAGCCTTAGCATCAGGAAGTTGTTTTGCAACTGAAGGACTGTCAACTTTAATATGCTTTTGATGTAAACAAGTATACGCATCCTGTTAAACAAGTAGATTATCACATATTTGTTTTTTTTTTTTTGTTTGTTTTTGGGTTTGTTTGTTTTTTTTTTCATTTTATAAATCACATATATATTATATATTAAGTCTTTCCCGCCTTCACATCCCGCAGACTCTGGTGTGGACACGTTGTCTTTTCATTTTCTGAGAAGTAAAGCAGATCAAGTGAAGATTCTTTTACCTTGTATGAAGTCGATCCTATGCAGAAGCATCGCCTGCCGTTTTGTTTGGACGTGCGACGTGTTGTGTTGCAATTATGGTTTATCCGCACATGATCAAATAAATTATTTCATTTATCTAATAGGCCTGTCATTTTCCAGCTCTCCTTTTGTATATTTTAGTCATTAGCCAGCTAGCAACTGGTTGTTGTTGTTGTTACATGTCTACTCTGTTATCTACTTAAGTGTTTAACAAATAACAATTATCACGTATAGAAACGTTTTTCAACCTTGGAGGAGGGATCACCTGGAATTCAAATGGGCTCACCTGCAATATCTAATCATTGATTAAAAAAAATGACTAAATAAAAACTTTTTTTCAATCAAAACTATGAAAATACCACGCATGCTTTGTGCTCTAATTTTCTTCTAGAAAAAAACAAAACAATTGTGGGATCAAAATTGGGTCACAAGCCAAAAAAGGTAATGCTAATGTATAATGTCCAACATACTGTACATACTTTTTTTCTTCACTCGGTAACTTTAGGCTAATCTTTAGGAATGTGGTGGTCTGATGAGTGCTAAGTCAGTAAGGCTTTTGCATGCTGTCAATGTGTGTGCGGCATATCAGAAATCACTGTTGCCACCTAGTGACTGGAGGCTTGTCCACCGAGTGCCATATTACATCGGAAGCCCCTCACGCCCCGCCGGCACCTCACCGTTCCCCCCCCGACAGACGCACAGAAATAACTAGCTAGACAGACAGATTGACAGACTGACTTGATGCTATCTTTGCCAGGAAAGGAGACCTTTCAAACACGTCCTCAGCGGCCGATCAAAGCCCTTAAGAGGTTGCTGTTATCGCTGTCCCCGCGACAAGGTTCTAGTCTGCAGTGGCGTCCGTAACAGCAAATCATCAACAGCTACCCAAGTGAGAAGCAGAAGAGAAGCCGCAGCCCACGTCATTGCAGCAACAACACTCTTGATATCCTTTGTTTAGTAAAAAATGCTAAAAATGCTTTTAGCCTTTTCTAAAGCCATTTAAATGTGGAAATGTGGGTATTGCCGGGAAAATATAATGGTAATATAAAAAATATATATAACTTGGACAGGTTTGTTGGGCCTAATTAAAAAGTCAAACGGACCGCATTCTAGCCCCCGGGCCGTAGCTTGACCATACCTAGGTTAGGCAAACGTTTTGTCTATGTTATGTGTTGTTGGTTTTGGACAAATTTTCTCACCGTTAACAAATTGGATTGGGTTTTTTTTTTCCCCCTTCTCACCCTGTGTAATTTTTTATTTTATGACCTGTTCGCCACTTGCGATTGGCTAAACTTTGCGTTGTTTTCTTTCTCCTCCCTCTCCTACTCGTGCAGCCAGCAGGTGTCCTAGGGTTTAAATGGGACTACTGTTCTCCACTATGCTGGGAAATGAGCTGGAAAATCAGGGGTGGGACCAGACACGCCTCTTATTTAGGATCTGTCGCACTTCTTTTTCTTTCTGGCCTTCTCTTCCCATGTTGTTTGAATACAGCTGTGATGCATGAATTTAGCCGGGCACTAAAACAGGGTTGACTATTCCACGCAGCCGGTGCTGATGTCCCATCTTTCAACTCCACCTACTCCTCATTCTGACCTCATTTGACTTGCAGAGTCAAACTCATTTAGGCCCTCATTCAAACTCAATCTGCCTGTCTTTTAGAGTCTGTATGGTGGCGGACCTTGTGTGTGGTTTTTTTTTTATCTCCCCAATTCATCCAGTTTCATGTAGCCATAATACTGTTCCTAAAGGTAACTTAACTAACTTTAATGGACATTTTTTTAAAACATTCAACGCTTACAGTTACTATTGTAACAAACCTGATCAAAACTGACTTAAGGTGTTGTTGGTGATGAACCTTGGGCTCATAATGCTAGGCTATGACTTAAGGTGTTGTTGGTGACGCTCCTTTCATTTTGCAAACGTCGTGGCGATGACAAATGAACCTTGGGCTCATAATGCTAGGCTGGTTCCTAAACTTTTTCCTGCTGGGCCTTCCTTTGGTTCATAATAACATTTTTTCGACCATTTCGGCAATTGCTTTTACACACCTTAAACTTCATGCTAGTATCGCCAAATTTGGTCAGTTGGCAGGAGTGTGATTTCCTGTGTGGGGAACGGAGCCGCTACTGCTGCTCCAAGCTGATTGAATGCGTGACGGGAAAAAACGAGAGTGAGAATTAAAGATAACGACCTTCTTTACAATGTTATTATCGGATAATCATTTCGTTTCATTCATTCATTCTGAAGCTTTCGAACTTATTACACACAATATATTTTCTAAAAAAAAAATTTTAAAAGTTTTTTCACTTTTCACTTCTAATTAAATAAATGTTTTTGGTTTTTTTTTCGAACAGCACCTGTAACACGGTGGTTACGCGCTAGCTCTTTCCTGCATTTGCGCCCCGACTGTAGTTGGAATGCACCAGGGCAGAAGCTAACATTAGTGCCCGGGGGCTAACTCCATTCACTTTGTGCTTGTCGAGGGTTCAAAGCGTGTGAAAAAGTACCAGCTTATAGTCTGGAAATTACAGCAAATATGAAACTATAAAACTGGTATTTAAACAAGAAAAAATGTCAAAACATGGCCAACATTTTAATATGGGTTGGGTTCTGGTTCTGCTCTAATTTTTTCTGTCGGAAAAAAAAGTTGCTTTGTCTTCCGTAAATGTGTCTCTGTTAACGGCATGTCGCACAAAGTTAGGTTAAGCATTTGGGCTTAGGTATCAGATCTATCTAACATTTTTTTTTCTATGTTCTATCCTGCAATTTCGACCGACAGCTATCCCGAGAATCCGTCAACTTGTTTGGTTACCGATAAATCCGATGAATAATTTCAAATACAGGAAGTACCCAATAACTAACTAACATTTGAACCGATAAATAAAGCAGCAATGGGTCAACAGATCTTGTTAAATATAACAAAAAACGTAAACAAAAAAAAAAACGTATTTTCTCCGTGAACTATCACAGCTTAGAAAAAGTGACACGCGATCGCGAATCCATGTGCCCTCGTTGAATAGAGGATGAATTATTTATGCTGGTCGTGAAGATTGTCGTGTCTCGTGCTGGTCTTTTCAGACTCCAATTTGAAATGTGAGCTGCCATTGAAACCTTTAATGTGTGGAAACACCACCTGTAATGAGTCACAAATACAATCTCTATTCTGTTTTGGCAAGTGCGACCCCACTGTGACCATCATGAGTCCCCAGGGGATGAGGGAGTGTGCGAGGAGTGTCTTCTTCTGAAAATGCAGCAGCCGTAGTGAAAAGGCCAGGGCCTGTTGTCTGACACTGATTTGTAAAGGGAGACAATACGGCTCATTGACCTGGCCCGGCTCTACTGTCTGTTGCACATACCTCGCCCTGCGCACAGCAGATTGTCACAGGCGCGGGGAGGAGGGATGGGAGCAAAGGAGTGACAGGACACAGGTTGCTTTGACAGTGACAGAAGAAAAGGGGGGCGGGGGGGGGGCCAAAACAAATGGCAGATAAACACTATGATAAAGACTATTTGGGGTTTTTTTTTTAGTTATTTAATTTTAATTGTAAAACATGGCGGTGGGTATATTTTATTGATAAGCTATAAACATAAACTATGAACATAAACACTATCAAACTTACAATAAGACATCTAAATGAGAAGGTTTTTATTCTGACATCAGGGTCAAAAGACCAAAAAGTCAAATTATGTGAGAGAAAGAGTCAAAATATTTTTGATAAAAAGCAATATTTAGAAATAGAAAAATGAGAGTTCACAAAAAGTGAAATCCAAAAAAAAGTGCCAATATTGTTAAAAGTTAACAGTTAAAGACAAAATGTAAAAAATAAACATAAACTATGAACATAAACACTATCAAACTTACAATAAGACATCTAAATGAGAAGGTTTTTATTCTGACATCAGGGTCAAAAGACCAAAAAGTCAAATTATGTGAGAGAAAGAGTCAAAATATTTTTGATAAAAAGCAATATTTAGAAATAAAAAAAATAAAAGTTCAAAAAAGTTTAATCCAGAAAAAAGTGCCAATATTGTTAAAAACAGTCTCAGTTAAAGACAAAATGTAAAAAATAAACATAAACTATGAACGTAAACACTATCAAACTTACAATAAGACATCTAAATGAGAAGGTTTTTATTCTGACATCAGGGTCAAAAGACCAAAAAGTCAAATTATGTGAGAGAAAGAGTCAAAATATTTTTGATAAAAAGCAATATTTAGAAATAAAAAATGAAAGTTCAAAAAAAGTGAAATCCAGAAAAAAGTGCCAATATTGTTAAAAACAGTCTCAGTTAAAGACAAAATGTAAAAAATAAACATAAACTATGAACATAAACACTATCAAACTTACAATAAGACATCTAAATGAGAAGGTTTTTATTCTGACATCAGGGTCAAAAGACCAAAAAGTCAAATTATGTGAGAGAAAGAGTCAAAATATTTTTGATAAAAAGCAATATTTAGAAATA